CGGGGACCTGCTGGGGGGGCTGGGGACAGAGTGGGGTCCCCCAGGCTGGGGGAGAGGAGGCAGCAGCCAGCGGATGAACTGCTGGGACAAAACTTGCCAAAGTGTTTCAAAAAGAATGAACCGAAAGGGAGAAAAGTGATGGCCCTCAGGGAAGGTCTCCTCTCCCTTCCAAGGGGCCAGAGCAGCCCCGAGCTTTGAGCTTGAGCTGCTGGCAGCCGTCTGGGGCTCAGTCTCACGGATCAGACCCTTCAGAAACTTTGGACAATAAACCCTCGCACACAGGGAGTCCCACAGGGCCACCTCACGGGTGCTGAGGGTCGCAGTCAGGCAGCAATCTCCGAGACCACCCCACAACCACAACCAACCCGCAGCACCTGCGGCTCCTGGCTTTGCACGCAGGGAAACTGAGGCAGAGAGCCACAGGCACGCCAGCCTGGGGCTGTGTGGCCGCACACAGCTAGCCCCACAGTGGCCAACCAGCCCTGAGTTTGGGGAGGTTTAAACTCAGCTCAACTCCATCCCACTTGGACTCAGCCGGTTGCCCTTAAGCCATGTACAATAGCAGCAAGCTCCTCGCAGCCGGCCGCCCCGGCACTGCTGAGGGGCCCAGTGCAAGTCAAAAGCTCTGGCTAATTTTAACGAAGCAGGAGCCATTTGGAGGAATGTGGCCGCTCCATCCCCACCCCCTGCCTCGAGGGCTCGAGATTACAGAGAGCGGAGCCGCAGCAGCCACCCGAGCACGCATGGCTATCCCGGCAGCCCTGCCTGCACACCCAGGCAGCTCTGCGCAGGCAGCCCCGCTCTAATCTCCAGACCCCAGACCCCACCACACGTGCGGCTGCAGAGAAGCTATTTCAGGCCATGTGTAGAGCCTGGCTTTAACAACAGCCGACTACCGCTGCCCAGAGCTATTCCAGGAAAGCCCGGAAGCAGAGGGTATAATCTGCGGGGGAAAGGACTGTATCCCTCTAATTCCACTCCCCTCATGCCCACCCCCTTTGCTGCATTGTATTTCAGCAATCCCGCAGGCACCCAGGACAGGGGTTATTTTAGCGCAGGACATGCCACCATGTCCACGCTTAGGCATTACCACCTGGCAATGCTCCCTGTCCCATGCAGGGGCAGGTGTTTATAGACATCCTAAATCTGCCCTGGATGCAGGCACAAGCCCTTTGGGGCTTCACAAACCCTGCCTCATCTGCTCCGACTCCCTTTGGCACCCCTTCGCTCAGTGCCCCGCTCCCAAGGGCGGCCGAAGCACCCACGTGCAGACACCCAGATCCATGACAGCTGTTTTCCGGCCCGAAGAGCATCCTCGTGACTGTCAGCCGGCACCTCGCCACCATGCATCGACCGCACACACCCCTGTCCCTCCTCCCTATGGCTGCGGTGACACCTGCTCTGCTGGCAACCTGGCCCTGCCACTGGCCAGGGCTCAGCAACCGCTGCGTGAACAAAGTCCAGCGTTGGAGCGTGGCATCGGGGCAGCTCTTAGGGAGGCCAGAGCTGCTGCAGGCACAGCGACACAGAAGACAGCCAGGCCCCGCTTGTACAGGGATGGCTTGGGACCGGTCAGAATAACAGGCAGAGGCTCGAAGCCCCAGCTGCTGGCAGCACCGTGGGCTTTTTGGGGCGCTTTGCGCCTCACCTGGGTGAGACAGGGTGTCAGCATGTCCTGCCCTGCAAACCTTGTGCCAAGGGACACCTAAAGCTGGCTGGAAGCGCTGTGATGTATCAGGCAGGGATGCAGGGTGCTACAGGCGGCTCTTACCAGGGCATCAGGCGGCCGAAGCGGGTCCACGATGTTTTGCTGATGAAGAAGCCCACCATGGGGTCCGTGATGGCATCCCAGGCTCGCCCCACAAACAGGATGATGGAGGCATAGAAAGGGTCCAGCTGCAGGAAGAAGATCTTGCGTCAGGACACGCAAACCCCCGTGCCCCCAGCTGCTCTTCCTGAGCTCCTCAAGACCTTTCTAACCGTACTGCAACCCACTGCCGTTTGGGAGCAGGGGACGGATCCCTCGGCCTCTTCCCCTCGTTCAGCGGGATTTGAGGCACGGTGACCCAGTCCCTCCCGGCGCTGCCCCACCACGCTCTTTCCACACTAAATTCCTGCCACCT